TGCCGTGTTCTCCCTTAAGTCAAGGTGACCTGACCTGACTAGGTTGGGTGCATTGGCTTAAGCCGGTAGGAGACTTGGACCTGCCTCGCATGGGCCAGTAGGCCTGCTGCAGTGTTCCTTCGTTCTTATGTTCTTAAAACAATGAGAGATAAATATAAAGCACCAATGAAATAGATAAATGAACATTTAAATCACTAAAACATACCTTTATTCAAGACACTTGTTGGCGTATGGAAGAAGTTGAGGAGGGGAGAGAAAGGAGAGCTTATTGTTTGGAAGGGAAATCCCCCTCCATAAGGATTTCAGGTATCAAAGCCCTATCCGGGGTTACTTCCCTTCTTTGTCTTTTACTGGCACTGGACCCCTGTCGCACTAAAAATCTGTCCAGAGAGTTCTGTTTCTGGCATCTCTAAGATTTGCCTAAAATGGGACAAGGTATTGTCACTGAACGTGTTGCAGATATGGCTTGTATCAGCTTGGTCAGGGTGATATTTTTCCACAAAAGTTTGCAACTCATTCCACTTTGCACACATGTCCTTAATCACTGAAGAAGACACCTTCTCCCCTCTCTCTTCTTCCTCCTCTGAAGCAATTGCCTCAGCTGCAGTCTGTTGCTGTTCCAGTTGAAGGTCTTGCAGCTCTTCAGTGGTTAGCTCTTCCCTGTGGTCCTCCATCAACTCTTCTACATCCTAGCCACTCACCTCCAACCCCAAAGACACAATAGATTCCACAACAGGCATAGGGTCGTCAGGGTCAGCCTCAAACCCTTCAAAATTCTTGTCGAGGACACATTCTGGCCACAATTATCTCCAAGCAGAGTTCAAAGTCCTGGAAGTCACTCCCTGCCAAGCCTTACCTATAAGGCTTATGCAACAGAGGATATTGAAGTGATTCTTCCAGAACTCTCTCTGAGTCAATTCGGTGTCCAAGGTCACTTCAAAGCACCTTGGAAACATTGCTTTCGTGTAGTTTTTTTTACCTGCTGGTCCATGGGCTGGATGAGAGGAGTAGTGTTAGGAGGCAAGAACTTCACTGTTATAAAACTGAAGTCCCTAAACAATTGGTCTTCCAAGTCTGGAGGATGAACAGGAGCATTGTCCAGTACCAGGAGGCACTTGAATGGCAAGTTATTTTCCAGGAGGTATTTTTTCACACTGGGGTCAAACACTTCATGGACCCAGTCAATGAAAATTGGCCTCATGACCCATGCCTTATTATTAGCTTTCCACATCACACACAATTTACTCTTGACAACATTGTTTTTCTTGAACACTCGGGGATTTTCAGAGTTATACATCAGTAAAGGCTTCACTTTGAAATCCCCACTAGCGTTACCACGGAACAAAAGAGCTAGGATATCCTTCATAGGCTTGTGTCCTGGCAGTGCCTTTTCCTCCTGCGTGATGTAGGTCCTGTTTGGCATTTTCTTCCAAAAGAGGCCTGTTTCATCACAAGTGAACACTTGTTCGGGGACGGATCCTTCAGCCTCTATGTACTCCTTGAATTCATCAACGAATTCTTTGGCCACACGTTTGTCTGAACTTGCAGCCTCGCCATGCCTTACAACACTGTGTATGCCACTATGCTTCTTGAATCTGTTGAACCAGCCTCTGCTGACCTTAAATTCACTAACAGCAGCACTCATTCCAGGCATTTTCTTTATGAGATCCAGATGCAACTGCCTTGCCTTTACACAATTGATTGACTCCACAACACTCTCTCTCGCTGTTTTTCGTTGATCCACACCAACAACTTCTCTACATCTTCAATTGTTTGTGATATCTGTTTTGTTAGCATATTTACCCATTTCACAAATTTAGCCTCCTTGATTTCTACTTTCTTTGCCAGGATGGAACTGATTGTTGATTTTGACTTCCCATACACCCTGGCAAGCTCAATTAAACGTACGCCACCTTCATATTTTTCTACAATCTCTTTCTTGAATTCTATCATGTTTCTCACCTTCTTTACCAAAGGGCTGGCACTAGGAACTTTCTTTGGGCCCATGGTGGCATATTTTGCAATGGAACTCAATAATTAAGCACAAAAAATGGATTATTACGAAATGTTTCAGATGAACGCACAAAGTAATGCTCACTCAACCAATGACAAAGCCAGACTGAGACACGTACACATGAGTGGCAGCTTCCCAGGCAGGCGGACGCTTCTGATACGTACAATTTCTGAGTGGAGGCATGAAATCTGGACCAAAATTTTGCCCAAAAAAATGGTCTAAATCCAAAACATACTATATCACTACATCTAGCCAAAACTGTTGACCAGAGGGCTGAGGAAGGGTTGTTGAGGTGGTTCGGACATGTAGAGAGAATGGAGCGAAACAAAATGACTTCAGAGTGTATCAGTCTGTAGTGGAAGGAAGGCGGGGTAGGGGTCGGCCTAGGAAAGGTTGGAGGGAGGGGGTAAAGGAGGTTTTGTGTGTGAGGGGCTTGGACTTCCAGCGGGCATGCATGAGCGTGTTTGATAGGAGTGAATGGAGACAAATGGGTTTTAACACTTGACATGCTGTTGGAGTGTGAGAAAAGTAACATTTATGAAGGGATTCAGGGTAACCGGCAGGCCGGACTTGAGTCCTGGAGATGGGAAGTACAGTGCCTGCACTCTGAAGGAGGGGTGTTAATGTTGCAGTTTAAAAACTGTAGTGTAAAGCACCCTTCTGGCAAGACAGTGATGGAGTGAATGATGGTGAAAGTTTTTCTTTTTTGGGCCACCCTGCCTTGGTGGGAATCGGCTTCTATTCTCCTTGTATCCCATCTACCTTTTACTCTCAGTGTAGCTACAACTAGAAAGTGATCTGATATATCGGTGGCCCCTCTATAAACATGTACATCCTGAAGTCTACTCAACAGTCTTTTATCTACCAATACATAATCCAATAAACTATTTATTTATTATTTTGACCACATTTTGAATGAAATCCTTTGGTTATATGGATCATGTGCCAAGCAACATTTCAGGGTGTCATGCACCAAGCAACAATTTCAGTATTGTACTCCAAACAACAATTTAAAGGTCAAGTGGCAAGCAACAATTTGGGGATCATACATCATGCAACAATTTAAGGGTCATGCACCAAGCAACAACAAAAAATGGTACCACAGAAAAACTTTCAAATTTATTTGAGATTTGTTCAATTATGAAAACATCAGATAATCAAATCCCACAAATGAGGAAGCACACAACCCTGGGGATTCAATTGTATAGTAGAAAACCTTCAATATAATGGCCTAATAGGGAGGATTCTCCTAGTGTTCGTTAAATCAGAAAAACATTAAATAATCACAGAAGTCACTAAAGTACTCTACTATATACCTAATACAGTACTGTCATGCAAATCACAAATAAGTATACAAAGATAAACATTGAAAATAAATGAGTTAAAAGTATAATTTTTTCTAATTACAAATCTTTTTTTTTTCCTCGACTTTCTTATGAATATCAACATTAACCAGGTAAGTCATGGTGAAGCAGCCTTTAATCCTTTCAGGGTTTCGGCCGTACTAGTACGGCTTACGCACAAGGGTTTTTGACGTACTAGTACGCCTAAATTCTAGCGCCCTCAAATCTAGTGAGAGAAAGCTGGTAGGCCTACTTATGAAAGAATGGGTCTATGTGGTCAGTGTGTGCAGTATAAAAAAAATCCTGCAGCACACAGTGTGTAATGAGAAAAAAAAAACTTTGACCGTGTTTTTGGATTAAAACAGCGACTTTGCACTGTATTTTCTTATGGTATGTATTGTTGTATTCTAGTTTTCCTGGTCTCATTTTATAGAATGGAAGACATATTACAGAAATTGAGATGATTTTGACTGGTTTTACAAAGAAAAGTACCTTGAAACTGAGCTCAAAGTAGCAGAAATGTTCGATTTTTACCAAAGTTCAAAAGTAAACAAATCATGCTATGCATCCAATACACGTCAACTGGTGAGTCTAATATCCTTTCACAAATGCGCTGATATTATTTATACCATTTCTACACTAATGCAGTAGTCTGCATAACAGTAAATCTTCTATTTTTTTTTTTTTTTGTGAGAATAAAAATTCAAAGTGGAAAGCAAAAGAATGTAAGAGGGGCGTGGGGACGTGACTAATGAACAGAGGAAATGTTATTTTAGTACCAGGAATTTCTTTCTTGTTTATTCTGGACCCTATTCGGAAATTGGCATCTTTTGAAATTTGTGTGAAATTGGCAAAATTGCTAAATTCTGACCACTGTATTGGATAGTTGCAATCGGTAAATGGGTGGTTTCTTGTACTCATTCGATAGAAAAAATGGAGTTCTAGTGAAATAGTTATGATTTTTGTCAACAAGTACACTGGAATTGGCCAAAAATAGGGCTCGAAGTGGGAAAAATTGCCAATGCGTAAACCATCGTCAAGACCGCTAACTTCGCAAGAGCATAATTCCGTAAGTTTTCCATCAAATTTCATACTTTTGGTGTCATTATGATCGGGAAAAATTCTCTATCTTTTCATAAGGAAAAATAATTTTTTTTTTTTAAATTTGGCCGACCCTGAGAACAAGTCTCTGAGAGGGCCTGTCGACCCTGAAAGGGTTAACAATATGGGCCCAAAACTAAAACAAACTTATCATTCAGACAAAATTTGGTAGTAGTAAACCCTCAATATAACTGACTGAACAGGGAAGATTCTCTTAGTCTCTGTTATATCAGAATAATGCTAAAAAATAACAAAAACAAAAAGTCCATAATTACTCTACTGTACACAATTTACAGAAATAAAGTACTATAATAAACACAGAAAATAAAAGTTAAAAGTACATAATGTCTGAAGGATTTTCCTTAAAATTTCAAAAATCCATTTTATCAAGGTCCATTTTACCGAGGGCTTACTGTATTTGAGGATTCTGAACTTGAGGGGAATCTCCAGGAGCCTAACACTTGTGAACCTAAGGCTTGACAATACAGCATTGCTCTGATTATAAAATACTGTGCTTCAAAAACTCCATTTGTAACTCTTACCTCAAAATTTTTCTTCTCAGTGTCTCTATCAATGAACATCTCTGTCATGGCTCCATAGACTCTCACAAGAAGCTGGTTGTTTTTGTCCTCACACCACACACCAATCAGTTGATTAGTAATACCATCTGTGTACACCTGTATGAATAAATGTTTTCCCAATAATAAATACTGCACACACACACACACATTATATATATATTTTAAATACAGTGGAACCTTGGCTTACGAACGCCTCATCATGCGAATTTTTGAGGATACAAACCGTCGTTCCATCTATTTTCTGCTTCTGGATACGAATGAAATTTCAGGATGTGAACTTCCCCATCAAGGGAGGTTCCTTAAATAAACAAATAAATAAATAAAATATTTATTTCTTTGCAAAGGTTATAATGTGTGTTTACATATAATATGATTGGAGCAAAGAAAGCCTCTATCATGCCAAGGCATTTTGGGCAGATTTAACCTAATACTAATAGACTACTTAAGTCTAAACAGGTGAAAAGTGTACTAGTAGTGGTTACCAATGTTTTGTTGATGGTGGCATCAACTACTGACAGCCTTTTGAAGTTTCTCCATACTATTATTATTATTATTACTATTATACTGTATTATTATTATTGTTATTGTTATAATAATACACCTACCATCCGACTTACGACCTGCTCGACTTACAACCACTCAACTTACGGCCGTGTTTTTTATGCCAAATTTCTGGGAAATAAACAACTATTTGTGTTGTACACAGTGTTTATCCTAAACCTTACAGTATAAAATACAGTACTAACAATATAAAAAGTAAAGTAAAACATGAAATACCAAAATAAAACAAAATAAAGTCATTACAAAAATGTTTTGTTGATATTCAGTAGCAAAGTTCAACTTACGACCATTTCGACTTACGACCAGTTTCTCGGAACCGAACTCGGTCATCAGTCGGATGGTAGGTGTAATTATTATTATTATTATTATTAGTAGTAGTAGTAGTAGTAGTAATATGTACATGGCGAGGGGCTCTTGATCTAGAGAATTGGATCTGTGCTCCAGGTCCCTAAATTAATAATAAATGGTAATAATTATTATAATAATACATATGTACAGTACTAATAATAATGATAATACATAATAATAATTACATTTAATAAATAATAACAATGTAATAATAACAATAATACTATGTACGTACTGCATATAGTTTAGTTTGACAACACCACCACAATGGTCACCAGAGCACATGTGTTTACAGAGCTACCCTCGCGGTCCAAGGAATTCTCGTGATTTCCTTACACTTCATGCAGTTAATTCACGAGATTTCTTTCTTCTAACCCTGGGTCCTAAGAAAGCAAGTGCAAAGGGCAATGCTGAGAAGAAAAAGAGGATGATTTGCATAGAATTAAAGCAAGAAATTATTGATAAGCACAGAAGAGGTACGTAGTGTAATGAGATAAACATAAAAATTTACATAGCGACCACTCTTGTGACCACAGTCCTCCTCCCTTGCCGCCCACATGATGACATACTTTATTCATTCTAGAGTACATACCACGTTTCTATGTTATTTATATTGTTTATTAAGCAATATTAGATGATAGAGTTAATATTAGGGTTATTTTGTCATGACTCCTGAGAGCAGGAATTCAGCTGGAATGAATTAATTACATTTCAATTAATTTAAATGAGGAAAATTGACCCAGCATACGAACAAATCAGGACACGAACAAGTACACGAAACGGATTAAATTCGTAAGCCGAGGTTCCACTGTATGTATGTATGTATGTATGTATGTATGTATGTATGTATGTATGTATATATATATATATATATATATATATATATATATATATATATATATATATATATACAGTGGACCCCCGCATAGCGAACGCCTTGCATAGCGAACATTCCGCATAGCGAACGCTTTGATCGCTAAAATTTTGCCCCGCATAGTAGACAAAAACCCGCTCAGCGAACTTCGTCCGAGACGCGTCCAATGTGCGGCCTCAGCCAGCCTCACATGTGCCGCCTGTCCCATTGTTTACCAGCTAGCCTCCGCGGTAACATTCAAGCATACACTCGGAATATTTCGTATTATTACAGTGTTTTCGGTTCTGTTTGTTGAAAATAAGTGCCCATGGGCCCCAAAAAAGTTCTAGTGCCAACCCTGTGTAAAAAGGGGTGAAATTAGTAGGGAAAATTTAAAGAAAGTTTTTAAAGGGGTTTTTGGGGCCCAAAACCCCGAAAGCCTATGCCGTTTTGGAATCCATTGTGCCTATTTTCAAAAATTAAAGGGGAAATGTGTGCACAGGGGGTTAAGCAAACCTTTATGGATGAAAATCACCCGAACAGCTGTTGAAAGGCGTGCTGGAATTTCAATGACAATGTTAGGCCCATTTTGACAAATCGAAAAGGAACGGGAGGTACAGGCCTAGGACAAAAAGAAGCCCATGACTCTAAAGCTGGTTAGTGGCATTAAAAGAAAAAAGGGAAGTAACCCCGGAAAAAGGGACTTGCCTCCTAAAGTTTTTAAGGAAGGGGATTCCCCCTTCAAACAAACCCTCTCTCCCCCCTCCTCCCATCCCATCAATATCACCAGATCTTCAATAAAATAAGTGTCATGAAATTTGTGCATGCCTTTTTCAGTTTGTGTTACTAAAATTTAAAATTTTTTTTGTGGTAAAAAATTTTTTTTTTTCATACTTTTGGGGGTCTTTCACGGATTAATTTTATTTCCCTTATTTTTTTGGGAAAATTAATTCGCAAGCGAACATTTTGCATAACGACCAGGCCCCCTTGCACGGATTAAGTTTTGCTATCGGGGTCCACTGTATGTCGTGCCCAATAGGCAGAACTTGCAATCTTGGCTTAAATACAAAGTCATCTTGCCATTAAAGGACAAGTGAAAACTTGTGTACAATAATTTCCCAATATCATTCTGAACCTAACGAAAAAATATTTTACTTTTTGTTTGTATTAAATTCTTTAAAAAAATTTAAAAAAATATTTTTGTTGGGTTAGGGTAAAATAAAAATTTCCGTATAATAAGGTTAAGTAAGTTTTCTAAGCTTCTTTTTGGGGCAAAATTAAAAATTTTTACATTAACATTAATGAAAAAATATTCCCTTTAAAATTTATTAAATATTATTATAATATATATATATTATATATAATATAATATATTTATATATATTAAAATATATATTATAAATATATTATATATACATACAGGAAGGCCCCATTATACGGGGTTAGGTTTTCCGGGGACCGCCGTAAGCGGAAACCCCCGTAAATGGAAAACCCCCTTTTTTTTTCCCCTTAAAATGCATCAAACACTAGATAACAATTTACACTAACATAATTAAGTTGCAATAAACCAGGCTCAAAAAAACAATAAAAAAGTCAATACCACATAGGCACTCTTACTTTTCCCTTTAAAAAATTTTAGTCTTAACTAGGGTGAGACAAATAGTATTTTTTTTAAGAAACAAGTGTGGTATGTATGGGACAGCCAGGGACCATACAGGGCCCCCCCACCCACACAACAATTATGATATTTAAAACATCCCAAGAGGTATAATTAACATACAGTTCAACTCATTATTTACCTTAAAATATGTGAGTCTTATATAGGAAGAGAGGTGAGTAGTATTGATTTGTAGGAAGTCAGTGTAGGTACTCGTAGGTGTAGCCCCACCTGGCTAGACACCTACCGGTACACCTTCACTGTGGCCCAGAGCCATCTTTTTAAACATCAACATACCTTGGTTCACTGATTTAATCATTTTCTAACAACTACTTAGATGCCATCATAAACGAAGGATAGAAGTAATGAATAATTCATGCCGAAAATTGTAAGCAAAGAGGAAGTGAGGGAGTTCGAGTGGCTGGCCAAACGCAGATTCATTACACGTTTTCTCTGTTGGCTGAGCAGAGGAAAAAAGTAATTGTTTGTACCCTCCACCGGCTACCACACAGCTCCCACAAGGATTATTATCAGAGCATATAAAAATATTGCAATAAATGCCAGAACAAGTTTACACTAACCTTATATTTAAGTAGCAATAGAAAAAGGCAATAAAAAACACAATAAAAAGGTAAGAATCACACAGAGTTCACTTATTAATTACCATAAATAAATTAATATTGTGTGAGAGGTGAGTGGCAGGAGTGTTTATTGAATAAAATCAGAATGGAACAACCATCACCTCTAACTTGGCTCATTAAGCAAGAGGCTTACGATCTCCTGTTATCACAGCGAACCTTAGTCGCCATCGTCAATGAGAGCCAAACTAGTTATGAAAGAGTAAACAAGAGAGAGAACGGAACGAGTAGGAGACAATGTAAGATTACAAAATGAACAGGTAGTGGACGATCACTTGGTCAGGCGAAATAAATGATATTAATGGGTGTCTACTTTTAGTTCATTCACGTCCATTTGTAAAAGTTTGTAAAACATTTACCTCAATATTTTTTTATAATAAATTACCTCCACAATTTACAAATACTCTTAAATTGTAGTATACAAGTTGTACATGTTAGTTCATAATAACAAACAGCAACACACCTTTTTAGAGTTGAATGGAAGAATATTAAATAATAATAATAATTAATTTTCATAATATTTTATTATGATTATTAAAAAAAGCACTAAACTCCAAAGGGTCGTGAAATTGCTATATATGAGTAAAGGCATATGAAAAGAATTTTTTCTACCAGGTATCCTCCACCAGTTTGACTAGGGGAAAACATAATTCTCCGGGACAATACCTACACAGCTGCTTTGTAAACAAAATCACATATTACGTCAATTTTTTACTGTGAGTGTATGCATCATGTTTAATGCTATGTAATGGGTTTCATATTAATTTTTGAGGAAAATATCATAGGATGGATTAATGAAAATGCCTTAATGATGAAAATAAGACATTTGTGTGCCCAAGACGTGATTATTATTACGTAGTATCATTACTTACCTTAAAATATAGGGTGAGATGAGTAGTATATTATGGTAAAAAATCAAGTGTGGTATTTTGGTAGTCAGCCGGGTACCATTCCAGGCCAACCCACTACACATTATATTCTATTACATTTAAGCAACAGAGCGATTTAGTAAATTATATACAGTTCACTCATTACTTAC